CTCCTATCCCTATCTGGGAGTCTGTACTTGTGTCTGTGTTTCTGCGTCTGTGTGTCGCTTCTTCCAGTGCCGTCTCCATTTTCGCTTCTCTTTAGGTACGTACATAACCATCTCCGCTTCTGTTTAGGTACGTACATAATAACCATTTTCGCTTCTGTTTCAGTACGTACATAACCATCTCCGCTTCTGTTTATTTACGTACATAAACCTATTCAATGCTTGCCTCGCACACTACGGCACTCCTAGCAATTCCTCAACAGTTCGAAAAATCGTTTTTCTCCGTCCGTCCTATTTCCTATTTCCTAGTCACCAGTTTCCGCTGACCCGTTCCTCCGCTATTGAAACCCGATGAAACTCTGAGCCGAAACAAACTCATAAAACTTTATCTGAAAATATAAATTGACAATCCTCTAATGTCAATATCAGTCGAGTCAGTCTGGGTAAACTTATTTTTTCGAAGTAAACATCTATCACTTTAAGTAAGCATTTTTCTTTACTTTTCTAGTAACTTTTTTTTTCTTTTGTAAATACGGTCCGTTTCTAATTCAATCCAACTTCAATCTTAAATCTTCTTCCGCTCTATTGTCGTTTTATTTCTATAATGCTCATTATTATCATCATTATCATCCACATTCTTTTTTAAGCATCGGTAATATATTCATCACTATCACCACCACTATCATCATCACCACACCACCAGCATAATTTTTGTTATTTCGTCATTTATTTGAACACTTAATAAAACCTTAAGCAACTCTGTCCAAACAACCCACCAGGAGGAGTCGCCAACCACTTACAACCACAATTACAAACACACAAAAACAAAAACAAAATCCGGCCAAATCACAACCACCTCCAACCACACAGCCAAATCGACCTGACAACCACACTCACAAACAACCAGAAACAAACACAAAAGACAATCCAACCAAACGCAAAACCACCCTTCAACCAGACAGCCAAATCGACCCACCTGGGGCCAGCCGCCAACCACCTTACCCACACCTCCACAAACAAACAAACACAAAAGACAATCCAACCAACCACCCTCCAACCATACAGCCAAATCGACCCGCCAACCACCTACAACCACACTCACAAACAAACAAAAGCAACAAACCACCAAATGGGATTCCAGTCAAACGCAAACCACCTCACCACACCCTCCAACAGACATCATCAGCCAAATTGATCCACACCAACAACACACTCACAACAAAAAACGAAAAAAACAGCAACAAAAACAAAATCCGACCAAACGCACAACCACCTCCAACCACACAGCCAAATCGACCTGCACAAACACACTCACAAACAACCCAGAAACAAACACAAAAGACAATCTAACCAAACGCAAAACCACCTTGCAACCAGACAGCCAATCCCCAAATCGATCCACCTGGAGCAGCGCGCCAACACCTACAACACAACCACACACTAAACAAACCAAACACAAAAAGGGCTCAACCAACCCCACCCCACCAAACCCGCCACGCCATCCAACCACCACACACCACTCACAATCAAACAAAGCAAACAAACAAAAAAAAAGGATTCCAGTCAAACGCCATAACCAGCTCCAACCAGACAGTCAATCAGCCAAATTGATCCACCTACAACACACTCGCAAACAAAACAAAACAAACAAAAACAAAATCCGACCAAAACGCGTCACAATCCACCTCCAACACCCAGCCAACATCGACCTGACAACCACACACCTACAAACAACCAGAAACAAACACGACAAAGACAAATCCACCCCAAACGCTAACAACCACCCCTAACGCACGACAGCCAAATCCGACCTTCACCTGCCAGCCATCCGCCAAACACCGCTACACCACACCTCACAACACACCAACAAACACGAAACAGGCAATTCAACCCAAACCTACCATAGCAGCCAAATCGACCCGCCCAACCACTCTACCAACAACACCTCACATCCACCACAAAGTCAAACAGAAACAACCCCAAAATCCGGGATTCCCCAGTCAACCCGCATACCCCCCAGCACTCCAACCAGATACAGTCAAGTCTCTACTCCAGCCAAATTAGACCTCCAACTAATCAACAACCACACTCAACACAAACAAATTAACAACAAAACAAACAAAACCTCAGACGCAAACGCACAACCACCCTCCAACCACACAGCCAAATCGATCACTGAAACAACCAACCAGCACTGACACAATCCAACCAGAAACAAACACCCACGAACCCCACACGAATCAACCAAAACGCATTCACCAACCAGCAACCTCTTCAAACACACAACAGCCATAATTACGACCAACATCCTGGGACCTACAAACCCTCAACACTATACACACCAGACACTACCAAACCACCCACCCCACACCCACCCCCACTCCAAATAAAAGACAAACAAAACATACAAAACAAACCGACTCAAGCGCCACAACCTCCAACCACACATCCACCAACCAGCCTAACAACCACACTCACAAACAACAAACAATACAAAAGGACAAGCCACCGACACCCCTCACACCCTCACCGCAATCGAACACCTGCCACCACCTACTAACCACGACTCACTCAAACAAACAGAACAAAACACCAAACCAAACTCCGAACCACACAGCCACCAACCACCAATCCAACCACTACAGCCACCAACAGTCCCCTAAATACCACATCGCCTCCACAACACCCCACAACCAGCACAAAAGAAAGCCACCCAACGCCCATCCAACCCCCTCCAACCCAACATCTGCCCCCTGCCCAGACCAGCCTACAACACCACTCCACAAACAAAAGCAAACCAAAAACCAAAACAATATCCGGCCCCCAAACGCACATACCACCACCCATCACCCACAGCCCCCACCACCCGACTACCAACCACACCCACACAGCCTCCAACAAACAAAATCCGACCCCAAAACCGCGCACACACCCTCCAACCACACAGCCAAATCGATGACACTGACAAGACCAACAACTCAAACACCGAACCCAGAAAACAGAAACACAAAAGACACCCAATACCCACACCAAACGCAAAACACAACCACATTCAACTCCAGACAGCCCATATACGAACCCGACCCACTAATTGAGACCCACCCCCGCCCCAACCCCTACATACCACAGCTACACACCGAAACAAACACACAACAACGACACCAGAGAACGACACAGAGCCACCAAAACCCGTGTCCAACCACCACAACCAAATCGACGCATGCCAACACCCCTCACAACACAACTCACAAACAAAAGCAACCAAAAATCCAGACCCCCAAAGACCCACACTCGCAAAACCCACAACACACCCCCGCCATCCAACCACACAGCCAAATTCGACCTGACAACCCACAACTCACAAACACACCAAACCCAAGCGACAAAAGACAAGCCACCCCAACACACCTTCAACCACAACATCACCAAATCTGACCCTGTCCAACCACGCTACAACCCACCCCCACACTCACAAACAACAGCAACAAAAAATCCCGAAACAACACCGCGACAACCCACACTCAACCACAACCAGCCGCCCCACCCCGACGCCTAACAGCCAAATCGACTGAACAAACACGACACTCACAGACACATACAAACAAAGCACAAAAAGACAAGCCACCCGAACCCCCCAACCATACAGCCCTCACAAACCGAATTCGACCTGCCAATCCACGCTACAACCGCTACACTTCACGAAACAAAAAGCAAAAACAAAATCCGACCAACAACACAACCCCACCCTCCCAACCACACAGCCACCAACCCACTACAACTACCACACACCACACTCCACACCAGAAACAAAAGCAACAAAAACAAAAAAACAAAATCCGACCAACACGCACACCACATAAAATACCACACAACCACCAAACAACCACACTCACACAACAAAGGCAAAAAAAAATTCCGGCACGACCAAACGACAACACACCAACCACCTACAACCAACTCTACAACCAAACAAGCACAAAAGACAAGCCACCCGACCCCCTCCAACCCGACAGCCAATCAGCCGAATCGACCCGCTCGCTATCACCCGCGTCACAAAAACCCAAATCCGAATAAAAATCAAGCCAAGCGGAGCCACTCTGCTGACGTCATCGTCCGGTGCCAGGGTGACGCGACGGCCTTGCAGTGCCATTACCTGAAACAGCTGATCGCCGACTGGCACTCAATTATATATTTACAGGTGACAGATGCCTGGCGGACCTGGTGACCTCTTCTGGCGATTTTCTTTAACCTCTTCCTTCCTTCTCTACTCTTCCTATTCCTTCTTCATATCCTTTATCTGCTCTTCTCTCTTCTATTCCTTTCCTTCCTTCCTTCCTTCCTTCCTCTCTACCCCTCTTCCTATTCTTTCCTTCCTTCCTTCCTTCAGGTAGGTAGGGTACCACATACAGACGGACAGACATAAACATATAGACAGATATATCAGCTGACAGATAGGTGTATTCCTAAACGTAAGTATCACGCATAAGGATAGATACGTACATATACATACATAAATATATGCACATACGTATGCATCGAGGTACATACATAAACGCATACGGGATGTACATATATACACATGCATATATACATACTCACACACCTGGGTACACAAACGTGTTGCTTACCTATGAACATATGCAGGATAATCCATTTTAGTTAGAGGTGTGAAATTATATGAATGACATATATACACACACACACACACACACACACACACACACACACACACACACACACAACAAACACACATAACACACACTCAGATTATCCTATGTACACACAACAAATTCACAAAGGCACAGACACAGACACGGACGAAGACAAAAACACACAAGACAGATACAAACAAACATACACATACCCACACGCGCGCAAACACACACATACATACACATACATATACCATACATACATACACACACTCCCACCTACACACACAAAAAAAAAAAAAAACTACAAACACCACAAAATCAAGCAAAAACAACGAACGTTTTACTCACTTCATTTGTTTTACGATGGTACTTTTGCCGGACTCTCCCGCTCCTGCAAAGAAAGAAATGTGTCATTAGAACGAGTGACGTCATCGCCAACACCGACTCGAAGGCCATGGAAAAAAAACTGGCAGAATATTAGGCAACACCGTAATGAATTTGCACTCTGATTGCAACATTGATGATTTCCAAAGAGCGGCCATATAACAAATGGATTCGTATGAACTGAATGCTGAAAATACATCCACGTATAAAAAGATCTTGTGCAAGCAGGTCTGAATTTGTTCATAGTTACCCTTAGAAGATAAAAATTAACGTATAAGATTTATTTTCTATGTTGCAAATATTATGTACGGTTCTCGATTATAAACATTATTCGGAAAATATTTTTAGAAGAAACAAAAGGTCTTGCTTCTCATTTATGAATAAATATAAATTCAAATATGAAGATTAGATTTCACTGTTGCTAAAGAAAGAAAAAGAAGGAGAGGAGGAGGAGGAGGAGGAGGGGAAGAAGAGGAAGAAAGAAGAGAAGAGGAAGAGAGAGGAGAAGAGAGGAGAAAGAGTTGGAGGGAAAGGAAGAGGAGAAAGACGATGAAGAGAAGGAGGAGGAGAGGTGGGTGGTGGAAAAGAGGGGAGGAGGAGGAGGAGGAGGACGAAGAGGTGGAGAAAGAGGGGGGAGGAGAGGAAGGAGGAGAGGAGGTGGTGTAAGGGGAGCAAGGAGGAGGAGAAAACGCTGCAAAACACGAATAAGAGAAAAGGAGAAACGACAACTAAAACACAAACAGAACACAGCCAAGAAAAAAACATGACACAGTCACACGCCGAAAATCCGGAAAATCCGAACCGGAATTCAGGGCTCGTGCCCGCCACCAAACCCCTTCCCCCCTCCCCCTTCCCCTCCCTCCCCTCCCCATTACATTTTCCCCAAACACATTAATCTCCCCTCCCCTCCCCACCCTGTAACAAAACACCTTCGCTAAACCCCCATCTTCCCTTCCCCCTCCCCCTCCCCATTCCCCATTGCCCCAAACACCATTAATCTCCCCTACCCCCTCCCCCTTAATCTCCCCGCACCTCTCCCTTCCCCACCCTTCCCCTCTCCACCCTTTACAAAACACCTTCGCTACCCCCCCTCCCCCTTCCCCCCACCTTCCTTATACCACTATTACTTCTTCCACTCTTACACTTCCGCCCAATTACCGTTTTTTGAACACTAAAGCCCTCTTTGAGGCTTAAAAAAGAATAATAAAATAAAAATAAAAAATAAATAAAAACAAAAATTACTGTCAAGCTTCCTTATAATGATAATGACATTGAATGACAATGACAATGGCGATGACAATGATAAAGAGAATAATAATAATAATAATAATAATAATAATAATAATAATAATAATAATAATAACAATAATAAACAGACTAACAACAACAACAACAACAAACCGATAACAATTAAAAAAGAAAATCCCTCTAATGGCCAAAGTAATCCCAGAAATCGCCGCCGCATCCCGCCGCCTTAATTTCCCCGGCAAACAGAGATCATCGCCGCAACAATCTCCACGGCAAACACGCGCCTGTCGTCCCCGAAGCAAAGGCAAATCTATTTTTGGAATTGTTTTTTTTTTTTTTTGTTTTTTTTTTTTTTTTTTTTTTTTTGGGGGGGAGGGGTGAGGGGGGGGGGGGGGGGAGGGTGATGAGAGTGTTGGGGAGAGGTAGGGGGTAAAGGAAAGATGGGGAGGAGGAAGAAGGGAGGAAAAAGACGGAGAGGAAGAGGTGGATGGAGGAAGGTGGGTGGAGAAAGGAGGAAAATAGGAGGAGGAGGGGAGGAGGACAACAGCAAGCAGCAGCATAAGGAGAAGGACGAGAAGGAAGAAGAAAGAAGAAGTCGTAAAAGAGTAACGGAGAAAGAGGGCAGGTAGGTAGGAGATTAAGTAAAGGCAACCGGGAAAGTGGAGGAGGAGCAGGTAGAGGGAAAAGAGAGGGGCGAGGAGAGAGGAAGGAGAGGGAAGAGGGTGTGTAGCGTGACGTGAATGAGGCTCCGCGCGGGCCAGGTGCCGTGGAGCAGGTGGTGACGCTAGCGTAACAGGTGGGAAAAAGGTGTGACAGGTGGTGGTAGTGGTGGTGGAGGTGGAGGAGGTAGTGGTGGAGGTGATGGTGGAGGACGAGGAGGAGGAGGAGGAGGAGGAAAGGAGGAGGAGGAGGAGAAAAGAAAGAAGAAGAAGAAGAAGAAGAAGAAGAAGAAGAAGAGAAGAAAGAAGAAGAAGAAGAAGAAGAAGAAGAAGAAGAAGAAGAAGAAGAGAAAAAGAAGTAAAAAAAAAAAAAAAAAGAAGACGAAGGAGGAGTGCATCAAACCCAGCCCGCGCGGCGTGCCTCGGAACGGCGAAATAAGACGCGCGCGCCGAATCTTGGCGAAGGGCGCCGTCGCGAGGCCCTCCTCCTTGGTAGCGGCGTGACAAGCGGCAAAATGAAGGGGGCGGGGGGGGGGGGGGGGGGGGGGGGGGGCTCGACGAGCTATTTGCGTCACCCTTTTCGCCCTCGGAGAAATCCCTTTGGCCAAGGGTCGCGTTATCCTGCCATCCTTCAGACAAAAAAAACTACCTCGACGGGATTAAGAAAGTGACCCTATCCTTCAGGGGTAAAAAAAAAAAAAAAAAAAAAAAAAAAAAAAAAAAAAAAATAGCCCGTCGGGATTAAGAAAGTGACCCCTCACACCCAAGGGCCGAGGGAAAGTCAGCGGTGAAGCGGGGATTCAGAGGGTGGAAGGTGACGACCTGAGGGGAAGGGAGGCAGGTGGTATCTCACAGGTAAAGGAGGAGGGGGGGGAGAGGAGAGAGGAGGAGGGGGAGGAGGAGGAGGAGGAGGAGGAGGAGGAGGAGGAGGAGGAGGAGGAGGGAAGAGGGGGACACGATGATCGGGACGAGGAGATACGACAGGATAGATGAGATGAAAGTGAGGAGAATGGGGTAGAGAGAGAGTAGAGAGAGAGAGAGAGAGAGAGAGAGAGGAGAGAGAGAGAGAGGAGAGAGAGGAGAGAGAGAGAAGAGAGAGAGAGAACGAGAGAAAGAGAGAGAAGAGAGAGAGAGAGAGAGAGAGAGAGAGAGAGAGAGAGAGAGAGAGAGAGAGAAGAGAGAGAGAGAGAGAGAGAGAGAGAGAGAGAGAGAGAGAGAGAGAGAGAAAGAGAGAGAGAGAGAAAAGAAAAAGAAAAAGAAAAAGAAAAAGAAAAAAAGAAAAAGAGAGAGAAGAGAGAGGGAAGGGGAGGGCGCAGTACACCTCTACGACTCCCCTCATGCCTCCCCCCCCCCCTCCTGCTCACTCCATCAAGAACCGTCACCACCTCATCACTCACAACTTGTACTTCCGCTACACCTCGTCTCCAAAAATGGGTGCTGGTTTTCCTCTATTTAAAGAAAAAAAAAAGTTCGCTCTATTTCTTTTCCGCTTTTTTTTCTCTATACGTGCGTGCGAAAGAAATATATGTGTTGTCTTTATAAATACGTTGTATGTTGTGTTTTTGAGTGAGTGTGTTGTGTGTGTGTGTGTGTGTGTGTGTGTGCTGTGTGGTGTGTGTGTGTGTGTGTGTGTGTGTGTGTGTGTGGTGTGTGTGTGTGTGTGTCCGTACATGTGCGAGAGTGTGCGTGAGAATGTATTTATGCGTGTGCATATGTGTGCCAGCCGCTTGCTTGCGTGTGTGCGTGTACAAGTAAATCAAAACCTGCATCCATACACTTGAATATTTATAAAAATGCACTCATTCCCACACACAACAAAAAACACTCATACTCCCTTGCAATAAAAAAGCGCACTCACACTTGTATAAAAAAAACGCATTCCCTTCATGCCTCTCGTTTTTATCGCGGGGATCACGTGATATCACTTACCGCTCGACACTCCAAACTTCCCTTACCAAGATCCCCCCCCCCCTTCCCCTCCTTCCCTTTATTCCTCTTTCTCCATCCCTAACCCTGCTCCAATACCCTCTTTCAGTAACTGTGTATTTTACCCTCCTCCTCTACAAACAGCCATCCAACATCCATACTCACCCCAACCCCTATGTACACCCCTCCCCCCCCTCCACCCCCCACTCTCATGTCATCCCCAAACCCAGTGTAAACCCCTCCCACTCCACCTATCCCTGAACTCTCATACCCTACCAATCACCCCCTATGTACCCCCTTCCACTCCACCCCTACCCGCACTCTCAGCCTCCCACTCCCCATAACCTACCCTACACCCCTACCACCCATCCTACAAACTCTCACACTCCCACCATATTTACCCCAGCCATCGCCCAACCCCCATCCGCCACGTCTATACCCAAGACTTCCCTTTTACAGTGAAAAGAAAGATGTACCGCCAGCTACCTATTCTTTAAATAAAATCGTACCTTAATTAAAATGTCTGAAGTAAGAGGAGACATAATGAAAAGTGATAATAATTATCATTATCAGAGAGAGAGAGAGAGAGAGAGAGAGAGAGAGAGAGAGAGAGAGAGAGAGAGAGAGAGAGAGAGAGAGAGAGAGAGAGAGAGAGAGAGAGAGAGAGAGAAAGAGAGAGAAAGAGAGAGAAAGAGAAGAGAAAGAAAGAGAGAGAGAAAGAGAGAAGAGAAGAGAGAGAAGAGAGGAGAAGAAAGAGAAGAGAAAGAGAGAGAGAGAGAGAAGAGAAGAGAGAAGAGAGAGAGAGAGAGAGAAAGAAAGAGAGAGAGAGAGAGAGAGAGAGAGAGAGAGAGAGAGAGAGAGAGAAGGAGAGAGAGGAGAGAGAGAAGAGAGAGAGAGAGAGAGAGAGAGAGAAAGAGAAAGAAGAGAGAGAAAGAGACATGCAGAGAGAGGAAGAGAAAAGAGAGACAGAAAACGTAAACGTACCAGAACACACGAAACCAAGTGGAAAACCAAAATACTTGCGAAAACGAGAGACGACGGGAGCTGAAAGGCCGGAGAATGAGAGAGAGAGAAAAAAAAATTCCGTGAGAAAAAAATATTCCGTGAGTTATTATTCCCGGTAATTAAACACTTATCGTCACTTCCTGTTCTCTGAGCGGCGTGCATTCGCAAC